TCTTGTAGGATCTTGTTTATATTTTCCATATGCAATTTTTCGGTTATCAGCGGCGGTTTTGCAACTTTCACACCACCATTGGTTCGAAATTCGTCTTTTATGTATTCCGTTAGATGAGAACTTTGGTATTGCTAAATTGGCTGCTTTATTAATGTTTGCTATTAGAGTTTGATAGTTTCCAGGAGAATTTTCAGCTTCTAGTACAGATGTGTATAATTTCCAATCGGCCTTGTTAAGATTCCAGATCTTGTGGCAATTTTGAGCTGGAAATGAAGTTATATGATCTGTTTCCATGTTAATAATAATTGAAAGATGATTGGATCCATGAGGGTCCTGTAGGACTCTCCAAGTAAATAATTTTGAAATATCTTGTGTACAAAAGGTTAAATCAATAGCGGATGGACTCTTACTAGTTGCTAATGTGGGCGATCCATCATTCAGACATATTAAATTACAATGATCAATACATTCTAGAAGTTTTTTACCATAACTGTCTTCACTTTCACAGCCCCATGCGATACTGTGGGAATTAAAATCCCCACCAATAATAAATGGTTTAGGTATGTCTTTAAAGAATCCAACCATTGACTTTCAGATATCTTATACTTTGGTTCAATGTAAACTGACACAATATTGATGGGATTTTTACCTCGGAAAATTTTAACTGAAATACATTTATGAGTGAAAGGATATCTATTTTTAAGATTTATTTCTTCGCATCTTAAGTTTGATTTTAATAAAATGGCAGTTCCACCATATCCGTCTGCCCGATCTGATCTAAAGCAATTGTAACCTTTAAAATTATAATAGTATTTTGATTTAAACCACGTTTCTGAAAGCAAGGCTATGGAAATATTATTTTGATATAGCAGATATTCTAGATTTACTTTATTAGCTACTGCTGAACGACAGTTCCATTGCAGCAAATTTATGTTTGCGTTTGTGTCTGCGAATTTGAAGACAAGGTATGGTTTACATGTTTACTAATTAATTCCACTATTCAGATTTTGATACATCGAAATTGTTTGTTTGTTTTATATTACTTATAATATTGAGAACTACTTCTAAAACTAAACTTATTGTTGCATTTAATTCCTCCGATTGTAATTTTACTCCGACTGAGTTTTTCAAATAATGTTGACTATTAAAAATTCCCCTGAGACAAGAGAGGTATTTGGTTGTGTAAGTATTTCTTTTCTTGCAATTTCAATGGGATCAGGGCTGGTTGGCCTGTGCCTTTTGTTTGGGTTTGAAGTTGTAGGAGAAGAAAACATATGTTTAGTAAAATTGTTATTATAGGATTTGGGTTGTAAATTGTGGGACTGTAAGTACTGAGGTTGAGAGGAATGATACTGTATTGTACTAGAAGGGGTAGGTCCAGATTGATACCGTTGGGAATAATTTGTCGAGGATATTTGACCACTTTCCATGGCAGATTTATTACGAGCGACTATGTTTGCGTACGTATTTCTTGGACCTGTTTATTTGCATCAAAGAAATTAATATTGCAAGAGCTCATTGTTTCCTTTACAATTTTTTGTCTTTTAAATTCTGGACAAGCCGACAAATTAGTGGTAAGATGTTCTCCTTGACAGTTAAAGCAGCTTGGTGTGTAATCTGAACTCTTACAATCTTGTGTGGTATGGGACTCCTGACATTTGCTGCATCTTGGTTTACTTCGACATTGACCCCCTAGGTGACCAAAACGGAGGCAGTTATAACATAACAATACTTTCTGGTTATACGGCTCTACTTCCTTGATAACTTTATTAATAGAAATATATTTTGGTAAGATTTGTGATTTGAAAATAACAATGCAAGACTTTGTGGGTACATATTCTACTATTTTACCTTCATCCGTAGTTTTTTCTACTTTACGTTTTATTCTTTTGACATTAGATACTTCAAAAGTGCAATGTTGATCAAATTGTCTTATTTTATCTTTTATGTACGCCTCTGAAAAATCTTTTTCTATATCTCTAATAACCCCTTGTCTATGAAGAATGAATTTTGGGATATACAATACAAAGTTATTTTTAACAAAAATATTTTCGTTTTTATTATTTATTAGAAAATTTGCTGATTTATAATCCTTTAGCTTGATCCTAACCCTATTCCGACCTATAGAATCAATACTAATAATTTTATTGTCTATCTCTGGAAAGTTAGAAAGAATTATATCTCCGATTTTAAGTGTTGTAATTTACCTTTAAACTCGACCGAATTATTCTCAATATAAATATGATACGGGCCTAAATCAGTACTTACATACAAAAACTCCTCTCTTTCTTTCGACGTAGTTATCAATGCTCATTGTTGTTGTTTGTATATTATTTTTTGACGAGGTTGGATTTATTAATAAATTATTTCTACTTACTGGTTGGGGATCTTGGTTGGAAATGGTATTCTTATTAAGAGGTGTCAGCTCTGCACCTGTGGAGATATCCATACTTACACATTCACTTTCACCAAAAAACTATATTTTTTTGACGTATATCTGGGGGCGCTGGGACGTCTGGGGGTTTCCCCCGACTAACTGGTCCATTTAATTGTTCTTAACTCACAATCTAATTTTATTTTTACACCAAATTTTAAGATGTATAAAACACAATTTTAAACAAATACAGTTTATTTCGTTTCGCTTTGTCGATAGGCACGTCCGATTCGTAGGCGAACTAGTACACGACTCCATTAGTAAATTTGTATTTGTAATAACAACTGTAAAATCTGTAAAACCCGCTAATAACCTTTAATGGTTGATGCGGAAATTCTAAATAAAAAAAAACTTTTTAATTAAATGCGAAATGTGCGAAAAAAAAAGTGTAAATCTTTTAAATGTACTTAACCGTTACCAATGGGGCTATGATCCTGAGGTTAATCTAATGTTTTATAGGGCTTATACCAGGTCAGTTCTTGACTATGGTTGCTTTTTATATGGGTCTGCTACAAATACTAGACTTAAAAAATTAGACCGAATCCAGTAGAAAGCTCTACGTTTGCTTTTAGTGTACTTAAATCTACATCTACTGAAAATCTGTTAGCTGAATATATGGAACCTCCATTACATTTCAGACGTCTTTTTTTAGCTTAAACGTTTATCCTTAAATGTCAAGGTAATAACCAAACCTACCTATTGCAAAAAATATCCGACATATCTGTGTCTAACTTAGTTGACAAATGGTGGCGTAACAAAAATTCTCCAATTTTAGCTATAGCATTTCCTAATTGTTCTTCCTATTTAGAAATCCCAGCTAAAACTAATTTCTTCCAATCTAATTTTAATATTCTTTATTTCCAAACCAAAGTTTATTTGCCTACTTTTGATGATAATGACGCCAGTCAACTTCAGATATAACTTGCCAAATTTGATAAGTCATTATAGGATTTTCAAAGATGGGTCAAAATCCATTTTGGGAGTTGGTTGTGCGGTATATATCCAAAACAATCAAGAACAGACTATGTTTAAATTAAACCAACAATGTTCCATTTATTCTGCAGAACTATTTGCAATATATAAAGCTGGAATGGACTATTGATAAAAAAATGTCTGATCAACAAATAGCGATTCTGTCGGATTTAAAATCTGCGTTGTCTCCTTTAGATAATTTGCATAAGCATTTATACAAAAACAGTATTATCGTCAAAACTTTAAAAAATCAACTAAAGTCACTTAAAAAAATAATTCAGTCTCTTTCATTTGCGTAACAGGGCATGCTGGTATTTCGGGTAACACCAAAGCAGATTATTTTGCTAAAGAAGCGGCTTCAAAAGGATTAGAAATTATGTAGTTGGTTCAATAGAAGTGATTTAGTCTCGCTGCGTAAACAAGAATTAACAGAAAACTGGGAAATTGAATGGAATGCTTTTTGTAACAGAAGTAGCAATCTTTATACAAAAATTCACCCTGTTATACCTACTGTGCCTTTTGCTGCAAGAAGTCATCCCAATAGAAGAGTATATTCAATGTTTGTTAAATGCCTTGTTAATAATGCTATTGTAAAACCTATCTTCATAGATTTAATTTAAGTGAAAGAGAACTTTGCGATTTTAATGGATACACTGACGATATCAATCATTAGATGTTCGATGATTGGATGGATTAAAGAACAAATACCTCTTCCTCAGTGTCAATCTATTTTATTTATATCTCGTCATAAAATTAGGCTTAGCCAAAATTTAATTTACAAAGGGAATATTTAAAAAGGACTAAAAGAAAAGTTTAGGATGGAATTTGTAATGTGAATGTATAAATCTAGCTTTGTTCTATCTGTCTATCTTTATGTTACATAGTTACCTCCTAGTCGTTGCCTCTCTTATGTTGTAATAAAGTCGCTATGAAAGGCACCTTAGCGTGAGAAGTATCTCTATATTATGTAATCCCTTGTTGGTTCGAAATATTCACTTTAAGTTGGTTAGGGCCTTAAATTAAATGGAACGAATGAAATTATGGTTTTTTGTCAATCTACTGATTCTTGTAATACTGACGTTTACATTATATTTTTAATCTACCTCTATGGGAAATACTATTTTGTTAACAAATGCAATAATTAACAAATTCAAGTAGTCAAATACATTATCGTGGCTGAATGGATCAAGTAATCCAAAGCCATTAATTAAATAAAAAAATCAGAAGATTGAAAAAATCTTCTGAATATTTTTGCAAATAAATGAATCACCATGTACATTTAAATTTTAATTTAAATAACATGCTTTTTATCACAAAAAACGACTTAACCGAGATTTTTAAGAATTATAAGAAATAATTCAAAAAATAATTTTATTTTATAAGAAATATCCACATTGTACCTATACAATTTTTACTCATACTTTTTCATCCATTGCCGTGTACATAAATATTCATTGAAATTCTGCAATATCATGCTAATGCTCACTCAATTTAGGATGATGTATTTATGGAATAGCAAGTCATTGTGCGTGTTTGTTTTCATTATTAGTTAGCACTTTATGCAAGATCAAATACATAATGTGTAGTCATGAATGAGTATAAAAACACTTAAAACCGGTGTTTTTTTTAATTCGAATCGTAACACCGGTGGTTAGTGGTTATCAGTTGACAACTCTAGTAAAGTAAAATGGCACATACATATAAACTTACATATTTTGACCTCACCGCAAGGGGTGAACCAATTAGAATGATTTTAAGCTATGGGGAAATTCCGTTCGAGGACAAACGTATCCAGTTTGCGGATTGGCCAAAACTGAAGCCAAGTAAGTACCTTTTAATTAATATGGACTACAGGAGAAGATACTTAAAGGAAAACAACAATTTTATTTGCATACTAAACTGTTTTTATTATTGTAATTTCTGACATATTACGTAGGCTGATCTAACCAGTAGTTTGATTAAAGTTTTCCACTAAGTCTGCCAATTTGTTAATATATTAGTACCTATTAATTTAATAATAAATCATGTTTTTTAATCAGATGTTGCGCTTTCCAAAACATTTGTTTACATTTCATGTTACCTCATCTGAGAAATTTATCTCGTAAGTTATTTTTAAACTCAAGGTCAACATTACCGGTTGCCTGTTCTTGTTTTTGTTTTCTTTTGACATAATATAATATTAATCATACAATAATTAATACAATTATATGGCTTTTCGGATGTTGGGCTTTGTTTAAGAAGGTTCTGAAACTGTTTTCTTGTAGCATTTGTAAATTCAATATTGTATTGTGGTTTGATCCCATATACATAAAATACTTATGTATTTAACTTGTACAGTCATTTGGTAGCTTTACCGGGTTTTAAGTTTTCCGGAAGATCTGAGAAATGGTAATGTTATAAATTTCATTATTCTCTTCTCGAATTTTACTTTACTGCTTTATTTTACTAACTGCATGAGAAAAATATTTATATACAAAATTTAACTAGTGAAAATTTCCTACAGTTGAAGACCTTGACGTGAAAAGGATGTATGCCATATACAATTATTTTAGAAAAAAGTAATTTTTGAAAATCATTTGTAAACCACATAATAAAATTTTAATGCAATTTATTTGATTTGAGGTACAAAAGATAAAACTGGTCATTGAGTATCTTACCAATAAAAAGGAATTGTAAAAAAGCATCAATTTTGATTTTTAAGATTTTATTATTGAGAAAATTTTGGCTTGTAACCTTTTACATAAAAAAATCTGAACTTAGTTTTCACTTGACAGGTATTCTTCATCCATAGTTTCTAGCCATTGTTTGTTGCTCAGCCTCTTGAATAACTAAATTTTTTGCACCAATTTCCAAATAAAATTCATGGTAAACTTTGGATATGTATGGTAGCAAAAGCGAAAGCAAAAGTTTTAAAGTTTTAAAGTTTTTAAAGGTTTAGTTTTATTGGTTCTGCATACTTTTGCCGAAGACAGTCTACCAAACATTGATTTCTGATACACCTTTTTCAACACTTAAATTCTTAAAAAATTCATTTAGGCAGTGTTTTATTTTCATTATATTTGGGGTTCATTGTCAAATCTAAAAACACAAATTTTGGGGAAGAAAACATTTTCTTATTTTTATCTAAGTATTAACTTTTTTTGGTTATAGTTTCTACCAAAACTTTAAATGAAAGGAAGTCTTCTCTTTTCATTATTTTTACTTCAAAAGGATTGGTTCTTTTACATTTTCTAACTGCATCAAACCAATCTGCTGGTTCATATACTACCTCCATTTTCTTTTTATATTTCTCGATAATAGCAAAGTCTCGGTCGGACGGTAGATAAGCTTATGCTTAACTGCTAAGAATCTATGCTCTACAGAATCAAAAATACCCTCCATTACCAATTGCTTCCACAAGCTAACCAAAACCTAGTTTTTGTTTTGGCCTCCACAATTATCGGTAAAAATGATGAGATTTTTAGGAAGGCGTTCACGCTCTTTAGAATGTTTAACGAGAATACTAGCAATTTCATCGCTGCCTACCAGTATTTTCAGACCACATATACATAATAGTCGTTTTCATTTAGGCAATCATGTATACCAAGATTATACACCCACGCCTTCCTAAGGTAAAAAGCTATATCAGGTTGTTAATGTGGGCACAGGTAGTGCTTGCTGAAGGTCCAATGACAATATCTTTTGAAGCAGCCAATTTTATTTCATCCTTTAAAGTGTTTTTCATTGGCTCAGCTCGCCTTAAATGTAACTCCTTTTCTATATTTAACTGCTTCACAGAATTACTGTAATCGATTTTGAGAAGTAAGGACATGGATGAAAATAAATTCTTTTTTACATATTTTCACATCGAATCCATTTACCTTACAAATAGTTGAAAGTGGAATTCCGAGCCGAAATATTTTTCTTGGTTTTTTTGGATATTACCTTTTTTTGGAACTGCTTAATATTATGGTATAAATAAGCCTTGTGTTTGTCGTGGTCTCCAATATTCCAAAATTCGTCAAAAATTTTGTTTTCTGTGACTTTCAGCAATATTCTACAGTTTTTCTTGCATCCGGAAGGTGGGAAATCCGCATCTTTTCCCGTTTTACTTGTATATGGTGAACCAAGATGGCTCTTGGTTCACCATATACAAGTAAATACTAGTAGTAAATAACTATTATTGACGTTTCAATTTCTACTTCGGAAATTTTCCGATTATATGAATAGTAATGAATAGTAATTCAACATCTGAACTCTACGATGAATTATTGGAAAGATGTGACAGAAAATTTTTGGGCAAATCGTAAGTGAAGAGCCATTAGTTTTAATGTAATGCTTTACACTACACTGTTTCTTAGAAACATCTTCACTCACCCGTCGCTGCTTCACTTCGCCAATCTTAATGCAAACCCCTTTTAGATATGATGATTGGCCATTGTAGTCTAGTTTGTAAAATTCCTGAAACAGAGATACTCTCTCTTCACTCTCTCTCTCTTCAATCCTGACCCCCCAGGGGGAGTGTAGTGGTCGACGTGATGTCGTATATTGTCCGTCTCCAGAGATCTCTGTCTCTGGTCATTTCTTTTAATTCATGCACAGGTCTTTGGCATATTCCTGTAATTTGATCTATCCATCTTGTTAGGGATCTTCCTCGTGATCTTCGGCCTTCTACCTTTCCTTGTATTATGAGTCTTTCCATGTTTTCTGTGTTTGCTCTCATAACATGCCCAAAATATTTTATTTGTTGGAGATGGACTTTACTAGAGAGTCGTTGGCTAACTTTTAGCTCTCTTAAAATTGAATTATTTGTTCTACGGTCGGTCCAAGGAATTCGTAACATTCGTCTCCAACAGAACATTGCAGTGGCGTCTATCTTTCTTCTCTCCGATTGTCTCAGAGTCCAAGATTCACATCCGTAGGTCAGTATTGGGAATATTAAGCAGTTGATCAACCTCATCTTTTTCGCTCTTGAAATTTGGCATTCCTTCCATATTTTGGTCATTTTTGCTATGGCAACTTTTGCTAGATCACAATCTACGTTTAATCTCTTCTTGTAATGACCCTGTGTTTGTGATTAATGATCCCAGATATAAGTATGAGCTCACAACCTCGAACCGGTCAATTATGGTTATGTGTGGATGATTGTTGTGTAGTCTATCCACTATCATGATCTTTGTCTTTGATATGTTTAATTGCAGACCAAATATTTGACTTTCGTTTTCGATCAGTCGTATAAGTTCCATCAGCTCTGCTTGACTATTTGCAAGAAGGGCTGTGCCATCTGCGAAACGTAGGTTGTTTAGTTTAAAAATTAAAATAAATGCACAATATTATGAAACATGGCGCTTATAACGTTACTGCACTTACCTCACGTGGAAGAAGTTTTTCTGGTTTAGGCTTCTTCTCAGTTAAATAAGGTTCCAATTCATTTCTAGAGACCTTACGCAAGTTTCTACGCTGGTTGGTGATGTTAAGTTTCCTGCTTTTACTTTGGTTTAAATAATTTATATCAGAGAATGTCAAACTAACAGCGGTATAGACATCTTAACGGCTTGGAGCGCTACTACGTGACAAGGTCCGAAAAGTGGCAGGAAGACGCTGTTCACAGGGCTGCCAACCTCAATGACAATAACATAAAAATACCTCTCTCATGTCTGGGATGTCGTATAGAACGTTTTTGTATAGAAAACCCGATCTCAAACAATATGTTGCTAACAGAGTTACTAGCAGGAACCATTCAATTATGTCACAAATTTCCATAACAGTGATACAAATATTGTCGTGTTCTGCTTTTTTCAGATTCCATTCCTTTTGCATTTAAAAGTTATCTTGATCTCTAGACTGCAGTTGTTTATAAATAATAAACAAGGGAGGCAATATTTATGGAATACTGCAAACAAAACAAAAAAATCCTGATTTTCTATTGCTCTTAAAAATTTGAAAAGTGCCTGTTAAAACGCTTACCACATTTTTGTTCGATTTCTTGAAACAGTTTAACGAGTTTTTCATTCTGGCCAAAATATAGTTTACTGTGTGAATTTTACATTTAAATCTTGTAGCAGATTCTCTGGTAATTTTGTTATTTACAACTTTTAAAATATATAAATTTATTGTTTCACATAATTCTTTCTAAGAAGTAGACCCAGAAAATAAATTTCCATATTAAACTTTCCATTTTATTTTGCACCAATTGCCAATACTAATATAGCAAAAAATATATTATCAAATGCAACAATATCGCAGTCTGTGCACAGTATTTTATCTTTTGTGGCTAGGGACTCGTAGGTTTGGTGACTCAAAGGCCTCAAGCGCAATGATTTACTACAAAACATTTAAGGAGAAGATTAATTATGTCATATTGTCAATATACTTTTAAAGATTTGTAAGTCGAAAGTTGTTGAAACTTTGAATCTAATGAAGTTTAATTCTAACGATCAACACAATGATTCAAATAAAATGTACTCTTAACAAGTATTTCACTTGACAACGGCTTTTATTTTACCTTTGTATATTAATAATTGTTATAAATTTTAGCTACTCCTCTTGGCCAACTTCCAGTGTTAGAGGTCGACGGTAAGCCAATCCCTCACACCATTGCAATCCTTAGGTACTTGGCGTCAATAGTAAAACTCGATGGCAAAGATGCGAAGGAAAATGTTGTGCTAGATATTGCAGTGGAAACCCTTTTAGATTTACAAAAACGTGAGTATTTTGTTTTAGATTGCTCCCTTATATATAAATAGGCAATAATATAGTAAAATTAATTTTTTCTACACTCAGATGAGCCCTTCAGTTTATTTGTTTCCCTTCGTAACATACTATGTCCCTCAGGATTTTATTTTAGTGAGTTTCTGTTAGTCTTTTTAATTTTTATCATTAAATGTGTGCTGTTATAGGATTTGATTATATTTAATTCTTCTTCCTCTTCCTGTTATTTTTGGGTAGACATGACTCTGTTTTGCAATGTGCCTCCAGTAAGTTGTCGTTTCACCGTTTATGTGGTCTTCCTACTGATCGTCATCCTATTGAGGAACCGTCTCCTGCCGTCTTTACTGTTCTGTTTGTTATGATTTGCCTAATATTATGATCGTTTTATTCTACTCTTTTATTTCTTACCCAGTCCTTATTGTTTTTTCACCTTGCATCTATGTCAAATATCTGTACTTTAAGCTTTCTTCTATAGTGTTTGGCTATGAATTTTTTAGTGTTTTATCTCTGCTGTTTCTAACATCCTTTTTGTCCTCTCTGTGTCAGGTAGTGTTTCTGTTACATATTTCATTATTGATCTGATGAATGATTTGTAAAGTTTCTTTCCCGATATTTTTATTTGTCCACATTGTTTCGTTCAGGCTCTGTTTTCTCTATTCTTTTGATCTTTTACTTTGATCTTACTAGATTTGTTCTTTTATCTGACCTTTCAGCTCCAATTTAAATCGTAGTAAATTCAACGTTGTAAATCATTACTCTGAGAGAGTAGTATTGCGTATTGTTACAGAGAATCTTCTTGTCTTATCCCATTGGTAGCTTCAATAGGGTCAGTTATTTTTTCTTCTACTTTAAATTTTATTGTGTTGTTTTGCTAGATATTCTGGATAATTTTTGCTCTTTCATGTTTTGTTTATTTTTCTCTTGGATTAGTTTTATTAGTTGTTTGGTCAGATCTGGTCTTCCGTAGTTTAGAAGTTTGGTGTTTGTTCCTCTCCTGGTGATGGTCTGTTTGTTAAATTCCTTAATGCTTCCTTTACCTTTTTCTCCTGAACATTTATTTCTTCGTATGTTATCACCTCTGGTGTTAGTGGTTCATTAGTGCCACCTTTAGCAAATAGGGATCAAAAGTAGTCAGCCCATGTTTCCTTCTAAATATCTTCTTCTTCTTTATGTGCCGTCTTCTACCGAAGGTTGGCGACCATCATACGATAGGTTTCTCTGTTTTGTGCCGCATGAATTATGTTCGCAGCTTCTGGTATTTGAAACCATTCTCTCAAGTTTCTCAGCCAGGATTTCTTCTTTCTGCCCAAACCTCTTCTACCTTCAATCTTGCCTTCCACGATAAGCTGTAGTAGACTGTACTTATCATTACGGAACACATAGCCCAGGTATGACGCTTTCCTCCTTTTAACAGTTGTTACCAATTCCACCTCTTTACCCATTCGTCTTAATACCTCTGTGTTGGTCACTCTGTCTGTCCAAGGTATTCTCAGTATGCGTCGATACAGCCACATTTCTAGAGCCGCTAACTTCTTTATAGTTGCTGCTGTTAACGTCCACCCTTCTACGCCGTAAAGTAGGGTAGAGAGTACGTAGCATTTCGTGGCGCGCCATCGGAGGTTAATGCTTAGGTTGCGGTTGCTTAAAAGCTTTCTCATTTTGATGAATTTGGATCTTGCTATTTCAATTCGGATCTTATTCTCTACTTCTGGGTCCCACTTGTCATTTACTGTATATCCCAGATATTTAAATCGATGTACTCTTTCAATACGTTCGTCTTCAATATGCAGGTCGATATGTTGAAATTTTTTTTTACTGATCACCATAAATTTAGTTTTCTTTCTATTGATCTTCAGTCCAAATCGGCTGCCAGTTGTATTAACTCTATGTAGCATCATCTGTAAATCTTCGATGTTATTGGCCAGTATAATAGTATCATCTGCATATCGAAAATTACTTATTGCTACGCCATTAATCTTGATGCCCTCATTGTACTCTTCTAGTGCCTCTAGAAATATTTGTTCCGTGTACAGGTTGAAAAGCAGTGGCGAAAGAATACAGCCCTGTCTTACCCCTCTAGAAATGGTTATGTTTTCACTCACCATATGTCCGTTCTTCATGTGGGCTGTTTGATTCCAATATAGATTTTTTATAATCTGGATGTCCTTAGTGTCAAGTCCTGAAAGACGTAATAGTTCTATGAGTTTGTCATGTTTGATAGTTCGTTCTTCTAAATATACTTCGTTTTTATAAGTTTGTTCATTTTTGTTGTCCCCTGATGACTCTTTAATTTCTTTTTGTGTTCTGTAGAAGTCGTGTTCCATTTGTTTTGAGAAACTTTGCCAGTTTTCCCTTTTTTACTTGTCTAACTAAATTATTCGTTTCATTTCTGATTCGTTTATAGTGGTTGTATGTGTGTTGTGTTTGTTGTGTTTTGTATTGTAAAGTATTTTATAATTCTTAAGTCAAATATTTTTTATGGATATATATTTCTGTTGGTTATAACATAATTTATCATAGATCTTTGTTCAAGGGTGTTATTAAATGTATAATTGTGTAAGTTCGTTATTCGTGCAGAAGTTTACCATCAGTTCTCCATTTGCATTTTTAACTTTTCTTTTTATGTTATTCTTATTATGTTTTAGCTTAATTTCGGGTATTACTTGATTGCCTATTCGAGCGTTAAAATCCCCCATATTATTATCTTCCCACTGACTTGATCTACTACTTGTTGTAATTTGTCGGTATCAGCTTATAATGCTAAAGTAATTTAGTAATTTTATGATTTTATTTTTTAATTAATGAATCGTTTTTTTATAGTGGGCTTCGAAATAATGTTTGAAAATGACGCGGCTAAGAAAAAGGAAAAAGTTGAAAAATTAAAACAACTATTACCTGTTTATTTTGGAAAGTTAGAAGAATATGCTAAGAAACACAATGGTTATATAGCTTTTGAAAGGGTAGGTAGATTTTAAAAAAATTTAAACAATAGTGTTTACTTTATTACTTTTAATTACGTTTTCTTCTTGTTTTCTAATTTTTTTTTACTTTAATATAAGTAGCATATATTTCTTTAAATGTTATTGGGTTGAATTTATGAGTCTATTTTAATTTAGGTGAACACAAATAAATGATAGACTTACAATCAATTTATTCCACCTCGATCGACCGGTTCCACATACTACAATATTTACTATGCATCATCAGTTCTCCGGTAAGACAACTAAAAGCTAAAAATACAAATTGCCAGTATAAGGGTACTGTTTGGTACAAAACATATAAATACTGGTATACAATAAGCATTACCAGGCAACTATAAGTACAATAATGGCAATTTATATTTTCAACATTTGGTGACCTTACCTGAGACCTGGTCATAAATAAAACATTGTAGTATATGAAACCGATAATCTGCGGTATAATAAATTGATTGTTCTATTATGTTTTTTTTTTCACCTAACTATTTATTTCTTTCTTTATTTTTCTTTATTTTATATGGACTTTTTAATCTCATAATTAATAAATTTTGGCTTATCTTTATACTAAAACCCAAATACTGAATAAAGATTCCGTCTTGTTATTTTTTATCGGATATAATTTACTTTTGTAGAAATATGTTCATAACTAAAATTAGCGACCAAAAACATAAAAAGACAAAAATCAACACAGATAAGAACAGGAAAAAATCAAAGCCAAATCGGAGTAGGTCAATGTTAAAGCAAAAAAAAACTTCTTCTACCTAGGAAACTAATTCAATACAGAGAAAAGAGAAGAAGCACAGATATCAGAAAGAATAATGAAGGGTAACAAATCTTACGTCTCGCTGACTCACCTATTTCACTAAAAAACCTAACTTATCTAAGAAAAATCATTGATATGCAGATAACATCATGAAAAATAGGAGAATGGGAAACTTGGAAATATGAAGACGAGTAACTGTATTAGAGGCAAGAATAAAAAGAAACCAAAGCTTAATTTCAGCTCTAGCTCTATTAAAAAAAGATCCAGAAGATAATTTACTCGATATATTCTACTGTCATGTTGTAACTTATACACCATACGTCATCATATTATGTCGCTCCCGTATAATTTTGAATGAAGTACATAATAGAGCCGACAAACGGTCGTAGTTTTAATAAAAATTAAAAAAAATGTTAGTCATACCTACATAATTTTTTAGTTTATTTGGGAAAACATCTAAATCCTTATATTTTCCTATGCATCATTATCTGTAGTAACAAACAAGTACTAAGCTTAATCTTTATTTGTTTTCAGATATCATGGGCTGATATTCTATTCGTTTGCGTGTATGAATTGTTAGCCAATGTTGCAGGTAAGGAAGCCGTAGCTTCTTACCCTAGTTTACAGCAAGTGAAGAAGAATGTTTTAGCAGCAAAAGGTGTTAATAAATGGATTAAAAATAGACCAGCAGTCCAGGGATATGATTTAAAACAAGATCTTTAAGAATTTACTCTAAAATTTTTGATTTAATAAAAATATTTATTATATATTGATATTTAATTTATACATACAATAAAAAAATCATTAAAATTTGTATTGATTTTTTTAAATTAGGTCATTCTTTGTGCTCATTCTTGACTTTTCAAGAAATTTACTTGTAAAAGATCATTAAGAGGAGTAAGTGATAAAAAACAAATCAGACTAATGGTTAGCAAAGAAAGTAACGGACTCAAATTATTATGCAAAAATAGAAATATTTCACAAATATAATAATACAATATCATAATAACAATATACTTATTTTCCCAAGAGCTGCAGTAGGAGAACTTGGGGAATAAGGTTAACTTAAAAAGAAAATCTAATTTTATTTAGACAAATAAGAAAAATAAGTTGTAAAATACGGATTATATATTTTATTCCAAGTACTTTCACTACAAGTAACATAAAAAAACTTAAACCTAATTTTTTAAAGAATAAAAAAATATTAAGAGAATCGTGCACAGACGGCATTTGCCAGGAGGTCTGGGGTAATACCGCTCAGTTGCATTTTTATGATATATGTGCATTGTTATTTTTAACCCAAGTCGCAAATAAACATTTTTGCTTTTTCGCACAGAGGTGGCGTAGGGCGTGGGCGACACAGCCCAGCCCACGGCCTCGCGGTCCAAGGGGCCTCGCGCCATGGAGATTTATCTACTACTTAAACCAAATAAGTAACGAGTGAGTAACCAAATCAAAAAAAGATAACAAGCCTACTAATATCCAGAGCGCTTACACTCTGCGCTTTCAAAATTTTCAGACAGGTGCCGACTTCGACCGATAGCCGACGGACCAACATGCCTATCCACAAACAAAAGTGGTAACAACAAGCCATGAAAGGTCAACGGACCGAAAAAATTACTTGCATCGCTATCACTCGTAAGAAATCCTTGCTGCAATGCACGTCATCGCTGGGCTCTAAGAGAGATAGGGATGGTGGGGGAAAATGGGAATCCGGATCAGCAAATCGAGAAAGAAAATCTGAAAGAGCAATGATCAAACCAGGCGTTAAGTACGGGTATGACGAAGTTTCTTAATCACACCGCATCTGGTAGTACAGAACCATCTGAATCGATAGCGTCGACTTCTAAAAACATTAAGTCACGATTGAGATTCCAATGAATTTGAGAATTACTAATAGAGAACCACTAAATACTGATACCGAAAGTCTTAAATTCATAAATATTAATATCTAAGGAATTAGATTCCGACGATGAAATTTCTGTGTTTCCCTAGAGCAATATTCTAGATCACGAAAAAAAAAATAAAATTTGTTATCCATCAACTAGCAGCGATGTGATAGAAGTTATACAAGGTTTTGAAAATTTTAATCCAGTTATGTGGTTGATGCCCATACTAGATGTTCAAATCATGATATAGTTCAGAACAGCCTCTCACAACAACTAAATATTGGTCATAAAGATTATCTCAAAGACGACGACCGTACTCACTAATTTTCATTTCTCTGGAAAATTGAACAATGGTGAAATTCAACATCGTCGCTCGTAAGTTTATTCCAATTCTTAAAATGAAGTATTCTGTTTTCCATGCAGACTTTTTGGCAATTCACAAACTCAGGTGATACAGGGAGGATGCTGTGACTGGAAACATTTAGGCAGTATTTTACAAAAATATGAGAATACCCAAGAACATAATTATGGTATTTATGTTGCAAAGACTAACATTAGAAAGAGGCATAAAACACGAAAAAACAATAGACAGATAAAGCGAAAGACTAAATTTGTGAATCTCAAAAACATTGGTACAATTTGTTTAAGGGATTAATCGATATTATACCCTTCTTAATCTCTCATAATCAGAGGTCACAGAGAAGCTATAAAGATACCGTAGAATAGGGTGACTTTGATTCTATAAGGTGACTTTGATAAAACATGAATATTTTGTTTCAAGAGAGTATACAACCCAAATGTTTCGTCCGTTATGGTGGTTGTCTGAACTTTATTTCAGTGCACATGTTGATTCACTATAGCAAAAGGTGTTTGTGGCCAATATCAAAAGTATACGGTTGTAAATTCACCATTGAAGTTTTTGTTTGAATTTGAAGATTTTATATTGTGTTACTAAATTTAAACATACAGCTCTAACAATAGAATTGCAGGTAATTTTGTGTATGTTGCCTTAATGTAGGTCTAGTTGTCACTATTTTAAAATATTTAACCTAACTTATTTCCGTAACTACTCCATGAAATTGAATGATTTCTTATCCGGGGTCACTTTGATACATTTTTCGGGGTGACTTTGATACTTTATTTCTTTTTATAGTTTGCTTAATGAAACTTCAAACCGTTAATTATTTTCAGGATTTCGTCATTATCTGCATGAAAAGAAAAAATGCCGCGAGTTTATAAACGAAAGTTGGGATCAAGAAGCTACAAGAACTTCTCTGACGAAACTCTTGAACATGCTCTGCTTCAAATAGTAAACGGAAACTTGTCTGTTAAAGCCGCTTCAGAAATGTTTAAAATTCCGTATGGTACTTTATATAATAAATACAAAGGGAAGCATGTGAAGAAGCCAGGGGGCCAAACTGCGTTGACGGAGCTGGAGGAAAAATCAATCGTGTCCTGCATTGTCAAATGTGCAGATTGGGGATTTCCATTATCGACGCTAGATGTACAACTTTTCACTAAGAGTTATTTAGAAAGAACTGGAAGAATTATCTCTAAATTTAAAAACGGGGTAAGTCCTGGTAACGACTGGGTAAAACTTTTTTTAGAGAGACATAGTTAGCAAATCTCTGAACGACTTGCGTCTAACATTACTAGAGCTCGGGCAGGTGTCACAAAAGAAACGATAGAATCATATTTCAATAATTTAAGAACAACTCTCTCAAATTGCCCTCCATCACACGTTTTCAATTACGATGAAACCAACGTTAGTGATGATCCGGGAAAAGAAGATTGCTTTATAGAAGAGGGACCAAATATCCAGAACAAATCACTAATCATAGTAAAGCCGCCACATCAATAATGATGTGCGGTGCTGCTGATGGTACACTACTCTCTCCTTATATAAGATATCGCAGCGAACATATGTGGGATGCATGGACATTAGGAGGTCCACAGGGCTCTCCTTGTTGTAGTAGTGGATGTTGCGCAAGAGGAGCTAGATATAACCGAACAAAAAATGGGTGGATGGAGGTAACTTGTTTTACAGACTGGTTTGAGACCATATTATTAACCCACGCAAGACGGCTGGAAGGTAAAAAAGTTATGATCAGCGACAACTTGGCGTCTCACTTTTCAGATCATGTTTTAGAATTGTGTGAATTGCACAATATTGAATTTGCGTGCCTTTCCAGTAATTCAACAGACATATGCCAGCCTTTGGATGTGTCTTTTTTTAAACCCATGAAAGTCTCTTGGCGAAAAGTTTTGACGGAATTTAAATTGCGACACCCAAAAATTACTGGTGTACCTAAAGATCAATTTCCGTCGTTATTAAAAAAATGCTTGGAATTAATGGATCAGACAATTGCAAATACTGAGTACAAATGTGGAGATTGTGAAAAAAGTGCAATTAAGAGAGTTTTGAAGAATGGGTTCGAGGCTTGTGGCATGGTCCCTTTCGATCCAAATAAAGTCTTGAGTAAGATTACACCAATCAACCATGATGTTGATTATGTAGAACCTCTGATTAACGACAGCCTCACAGACTATCTGATGAATAAGAAGTCCGAGATAAAAGTTACTAAACGGCAAAGTAAAAAGAAACTTCATATCCAACCTGGTAAAAGTGTAAGTCGACATATAACGGCAGACGACAGCTCCTCCGATAGCGAGTTAAACAGCTATAATAGTGAAAGCGAAAATGAAATTGAAAATGAAGATTCTGTGGAGAACCAATCATATGAAGATGAGATGAATACAAAACCCTCCCTTGCTGAATTGAATGTTGGAATTTATGTGCTTGTAAAAATTATGTCAGGTAAACAAAAATGTAAAAATTACGTATATGCCGGAAGGATACAAGAGAAATTACCTTTTGACGAATACGAACTCATTGGACTTAAATCACTGGATGAGACCCATAAACATTTTAAAGTTGTGGAGACCGACGTTATTAACGCTCCTTTCGATGATATCTTAGCAATTCTGAAGACCCCATCGGTTGAAACAAATGAAACGGCAACTACATGTACATTTCCTGGCAGAGTTGATGTTGAAGAAAAATAACTTTGATTTTGTTTCCGTTCAAAATACATTCTTTTGGCTTTTTTTACTGTTTTATACTGTTTTACTAATTTGCTAAAATGTTTTTTACCTGAATAAAGTATTAGCTACCTGTAAAATTATTTATTATACACTAATTATTGTGCCTATAGCAGCTGTCAAAGTCACCCCAAAAATTAAAATTGAAATATCTAAAAATTGGCTTGATTGATTTAAAAATGGGTTGACATTGACACCATTACAGCTTTTATGCATCGTCCAAGCTATTTTAAAATAGGGTATCAAAGTGACCCCACATCAATGGGTGATTTTGATATACCATTACTTATTTTTTTTGAGAAAATCCTCAGTTTAAAGATATATATACTAACAGTATAAATTACATAAACATAAGATGAATCCCAATGGACATTTTTCCACATTTTTGGGATCACCCATTCAAAAGTTACGTAAGAAAATATAAAAAAATTAACAAAGTCACCCCGTTCTACGGTAGACGGCGACTTTAGGAATAGTGAAAAGTTCACTGATTTATTTAAATTGATATTAAAATTTGATCCTACTTTACGAGAACATATGAGATGTATTACTGACAAGCAACTTACGCATCATTCTTTAAGTCACGATATACAAAATGAATTGACCACACTGATGTCAAAAACGGTAATTGGTGAAGTGATTCGCAAATTAAAAGAGACAAAATATTATTCTTATTTGCTTGACTGCACTAGAGACTGTAGTAAAGTAGAACAAATGTCTGTGATCGTTAAAATTTTGTAATGCATTAACGGGTACAATAGAAGAACATTTAAGGAGATTTCTTGATGTAAGTGAGAGAAAAGGAGAGTATTTAAGTAATGCTATACTAGGCGAACTAGAAAATAATGGCTTAAAATATTCAAAACTGCCGTCACCAAGGATACGACAGTGGCGCGGATAAGTTAGGCATAAATAGTTCAATTAAAATTCGAATATTAAATATAAATTTACCTAACTTTATAACAGACGTGAAACAGTTGCTTCAATACATTACATATAACAACAAAAGATTAAAACTCATTAAGAATTATTTAAGGAATACGATGTCACAGGAAACATTTACTGCGGTCGCAATTTTGTCGATCGAGACTGACATGGCATCCAAGCTATATAACGAGCATGTAATTAAACAATTTAGCAGTGTAAAAAGTAGAAAATTTCTGTTGCTGTAATATTTGAATTAAATTTTTTAGATTAGTTGTAAGTTTGACTAGATTTTGCATGAGGTTAAATAAATAAAATAAAAGGTTAATAATGATATATGTCATGACTTTTAAAAAATCCATCTTCATGCGCGGGCAGAGGGCCTTGCAAAATGTATCTTGCCCATATAAAATTATGATCTTGCGCTGCCACTGTTTTCACAGCCACTACACTCTTGATGAAACCATCTAGCGCAAATTGTGCACCTAAACTATAGCTCACCATCTTTACCAAAGTCATTTCAGATTATGCAGTATTCGTTTGGAGCTGCTTCGTCAAGTTTGTTATCATCGCAGAGTTCATTTTCATCTTTACTTTCATCAGAAGATGAAGACGCTTCCTAACATATATTCTACGTTTAGTTGGCATCTTTTTTGTGTTAGATTTCATATCATTTTTCGATTTCTTTCTTGGTGCAAATTGTTTCGAAATTTTACTTGTACGTCTGTTCTCTTTTTGTTCAAATATTTCTTTGAAGTGTGTTAAAGTTAGAATTTTTGAATGTGGCTTCCGTCTTAAAGTTTTTTTCTGGAAATTTGGTGGTCTGGGTATTGGAATACATTCTGTAAATAATGTTTGGTTTTGGAGATATATTTTGGTTGGATGGTTGTCTGTAAATCAATGTTTGGACTTAGATATCTTTCATTTCTTTTGCATTACTGAATTTACTTCCAGAATCTCCAAATCTTTTAAAGTATTAGATGCCACAAATCCTTCGTCACCTCAAATCCTTTAACTGCCTTGTCTACTGTAGCGAAACGAGCATAAACATTGTTAAACAATGGTGCGTAATCATATGCGTGGTCATATGGCGTAATTTGCTAATACTACCCTTATTTTATAAAGATGTTCATTTCTATACTTAATGCTACTTTGACTGGGCCAAAAACTGTTACGTCCAGTGGCTGCATCTTATGGGACGTATGTAGTGGCAACGAAAGCATGTGTATTTAATTGTTTTTCACTAATAAGGGAAGTATGGCTGCTATAGTTCTCCACAATAAGAAGAACCGGCTCTTCAATCGATGCATGCCCTGTAGTTTTGGAGTATTAGAGCTATTACAGAAATAAATCTTCAGTCATCCAACCTGACTTATTTCATCGATATATAGATCCAGGAAGGACTTCTCATTCTAATCATAATAATATTATTTAGATGTAGATTTGTTGAAATTTGTTTTTTATCTATATGCGGGTGTCTACAGCTACTTTTCGCATCTCAACTTGGTTAATCGAATCACTAACACTGAGCCGCAAGTTCCCATTTTAGGGCGTATTGCTCATAGATAGGTACATCTAATACACCAGCGTATACTCGTTAAACTCGAGGATTTTGATATTAAACTGTAACGTTAGACTTTTTATTTTCTGACCGGAATTCAGACCATCGATCAATTAGATTACTTACAGTGATCCGCTTGGCTATCTGGCGGACAATAATAATTAGCTTGTATTTAATGTACATCAAAATTTTGCGATTACTTCATTTCTATATTTTTCATTATACAACATCTTAAGTTGTTACTTTGCTTTGTACTATTTTTATTTCCTTTTTTCATTTAATTCTACAGATTCACCTGTTATCATTCATCATTATCAACAGCTATTACATTTTATCGTCCGATGTAAGCCTTCCTTAAATATGTTCATTTATTTATGTTTGTTTTTTTTTTATATAAATTTGTAACCAGCCATTCTCTTGATGGCATCAGTTCATCTAGTTTAAGGGCTGCCTCTAGTTATCTTGTTTGCTCTTGGGCACCATTCAATAATTCGCTTCGTCCAACGATTGTCTTCCATTCTTCCCATTATCCTCCGCAGTTCCATGGCAATATTTTGGTTTACATCTGTAACTTTTGTTCGTCTTTTTATTTCTTCATTGGAATTACGATCGGTGAGTCTAATGTTGAGTATTCTCCATTCCATAGCTTTGTGAACTATGTTGTTGTTAAAAGCTCATGTTCTAGTTCCGGCAGCACATACTGATAGCAAGTTTTTACCTTTAAAGTATGATTTAAATACTGTTTGTAATCTTATGAATGCTACCGATGGTACTCATGCTAATTAACATCTATGTAAGTCAGCCTTTAAGGTAGGCTTTTCTAGATTTATTTTTAGTCCTATTCCTTTTAATTTTGTATTTAGGTATATCATTTCCTGCAGTTCTTCTCTCTCTTCTACTAATAATACGACATCATCGGCAAATCTCAGGTGATTCAGGTTTTCATCGTCTACGTCATGTCTTTATTTCCCCATTCTAAATTTCGGAACATATCTTCTAGAGCTAAAGTAAATAGCTTGGGTAAGAATATTCTTGTCTAACCCCTCTCTGTAGTTTTATTGTTTTTTTTCTTCTATTTTGACTTCCAATGTTGCATTTTCATTTATATATACTTAATGATTTTTGTATATCGGTCATCAATTCTATTGTTGCTTAAGGAGCTAAGGTTGGCCCAAATTTCTATGGTGTCAAATGCATTCTCGATCTACCACAGCTGCCCAGGGTGTTATATTTTATTCGTTTGATTTTTCAATTACTTGTATATGATCTATGGTGCCATAACCTCTTCTAAATCCTGCCTGATTCCGAGGCTGTTAACTATACAGTTTGGATTTTGGATAATTTGTTTGTTAGTCGCAATGTAATTATTTTCACAAACAGCTTATACAAGACTGATAACAGGCTAATGGGTCTATAGTTTTATAATTTCTATTTATTTCCTTTTTTAAATATCAGTCTTAGAATAGCATTTAAAAAGATTTAGGTACTTTACGTATTTCTATACACTTATCAAAAATTATTTTTAACATTTTTATGTATTGTCCGCCATACTTTATCATTTCTAATACTATTCTGTCTTCACCTGGAGCTTTTTTATTTTGCATAGTGCTCATTGCGTTTCTTATTTCGTCCTCTGTTATATCTGGTTTATCTTTGGATCCAACATTTTTTTAGTATTTTTCTGTGTTTTTTTATCTTTATATGGTCGTGGTGTAACTTTTGACTTGTATAATGTTTGGTAGGAGTTTTCTATCATGTTGGTTATTATTTGAATTTTATGTCCAGTTCTATCACTATCCACCTCATTTTCTTATATTTTTCTTCTAATTCTAGCACCTTTACTTCCGAACTTAATGCGCGTATATTGAATGTAGCTATATACCATTCAGATGTGTGATATTTTTGTGGATATTTTATGTGTCTGTTTCTGTTATTTTTTATCGAATTTATGTCCCCTACAGAACCCACTAAACGGCCTGATGTTTCAGTGCGAGATTTTAAGACATTATCTCTACTCGCCTGGTGTAATTTGTTTTGGATATTTGACATTTTATAAGGGGTGTTTTACCCTTAACTTGTCACGCTGACCAGGTGGGTTTACAAGTACCTGGTGGTCCACGCGAAGTATTTTATTTCCCTCCTAACCACTGGTAAACCAGGTCAAAAATTCCCCATATTTGCTACCTGTGGACGAGCTTTCTGTATCTCTTTCGAGATACAGGATCAGTACTTTTCTTTAAAAATAACAGTAAGCACGTTCTATCTAGCATAGCGTAAAATTAAAATAGCATTTTCTTTGATTTCATTTATTTTGTAAATTTGTAAAAAAAAACATCTTAAAGATCTTGTTTCAAGTCATATCCAGGTAATGCTGGTCGATTTTTAATCCAGCTATTGATATTCTTTACAGCTAGAACGTTCTTCTTAACTTTCAGTAAACTAGGATAAGCATCGACAGCCTCTTTACCTACAACGTTGGCCAATAACTGATAGACGCAAACGAATAAAATATCAGCCCATGACAACTGAAAATAAATAAAAGTCATGGTTAGTTTTTGATCATAAAGAGATAACGATGTATAGATAACCATAAGTAATTACTATTTTTCAGATAAATTAAAAAAAATTATGTTTGAAAAGATTTTTTATTCTTAGTAAGTACTAATAATGATTAATGATAGTGTATCAGGTTGATTACTTAATAGTAACTATTTTTGCTTTTCACCTTATCTGTATCAATACCAATAGTGCAAAATAATTTTTTATGTCACATCTTAGTTCAAATTAAATTATGTGGAAATTATATGTAATATAACGGGATGAAAATTCCCAGCATTCAGGTATAAACATACAGATAAGGACAAACAAATTAGATTTATAATAAGGGTTTTATTAAAAGTATAGAAATATAAGTTAGCGCTTTTACACTTTTTTAACTAGCGGTGAAGTAAGTAAGTAAGTAACAATATAACACTGAAAAGTTTTTAGTGTTTTATTGTTACGTAAAATAAATTTTCATCAAGAAATGGTCAAATCCATCACTTAAGTAAGTAAGTCTTAGTTCTGTTCAAAATACGTATCGCGCACTACGTACATTTTATGGTGAACATAATAGTCTATCACAGCAATTAAATCGATTAACGATGGAATGTTTTCACACCAAGTTTACTCTAAATGATAATACATATCCATCTAGAGATATAACAGTGATCATGGGTGATTTCAATGCAAAAATTGGCGAAAGAAAATGCTACTCTAATGTAGGATCATATGGGTTTGGTGAACGAAACGACAGAGGAGATCGCCTAACAGAATTTTGTCAGCAGCATAATGTTATAGTCACAAATATTTTTTAAATTACCTAAGCGATGCCTTTATACATGGAAATTGCCAGCTGACAAAGACAACAAAATCGTTAGAAATCAAATTGACTACATTCAAATAAAACACAGATAGTAGCGTTGTAAATTTTCATATTTAATATCTATATACTAATATAGATTCCCTTTGAATTTTTGTAGTACGCCCTTGGTTGTTTATACCAAGAAACCTGTGTTTGTCTTTTACGAAAAAAATTTAAGTTGAGATTCTTCAATGCATAATAACGCTGGAAATATTTTTTGTCTTATATTTTCAAATCTCATCTTTTGTTACATTGTCAGGTAAAAATATAGATGTATTTGTAGTTGAAAACGATTTGTTTACATTCAAGTCTCCTAATATTCCGGTTAAAAAAGATGTTTTGTTGTCGGTTCGAGGTTGTTAAGAACGAATATCAAGGGGGATATTGTTTATTTAGGTTTCCTAATGTTTCGTTGTCGGTTCGAGGTTGTTAAGAACGAATATCAAGGGGGATATTGTTTATTTAGGTTTCCTGGCAAATGAAAAACCGAGACGTGAAAGGGGATTTACTTGGCGTTTGAATTTGTAAAAATCTAAAGCGACAGTCAAGCAAGAGCATTCGAATAGGCCGTCAAGCCCGATCATCCGAACGATGTAGAGTCAAGATAGCACTTAGACGAGATGTAATGTTAGGGCACATTAGAACCAAAAGTCCATTCAATTTTTTTTTGTGTTATGTTTTAAGACCGATAAGATGATAATACTCTTTGCATAGCAGTTTAAACATAGTAATCATCGGAAGATTTATACAGTGTACCGGAGACTAATGGAATATATAGGATGTCACACCAGTTTTGTTCGTCAGCTTGATTCCTCCACCGAACTGATTTACGTCAGATCTTCGTTCCTGACTATGGAAATGGTTCCCTGTGTTCCAGCTTGAGAATTTGTCCAAGTAGCTTCCCCAGAGATGTAACAAGTTTTTTAAAGTTAAGTAGTGCAATATATGAAAATAAGGTAGCAATTGATATATTAATTTTTTTTCTAGATATATAGACTTGTTTAATAATAGCTGTCATTAAAATAAAAGAATTTGTAATAATTAAAGTTTTACATTATGTTAGAGTCGAAGCTAAAAATGTCATATTTTATTCTGCCTTAAAATGTTATGTTGACATATGACGTTTTGCTCTAATCCATTGTTGTTGTAAAACAATTTTCATTTGATTATTATATAGAAAAGATATTTCATATATTAGGTTAAATTCTACAGTATTTTCATAAAAAGGATATCCATACGTTTTGATAATCTAATTTAGCCATATTATAGCCTAGGAACCATTTCAAAATTTTTGTAGCAATCTCTTTTGTAAACAAATAACACGTAAGTTTTTGTTAATTTGTATTATGTATGTAGTATGCTTCTTGTGTAATCTGTATTTTTAAAAACTGTTGGTTTGAGACAAAAATAAACGTTTGATTTGTTTGTCTGACCTATTTTGTGTTTTAATTTAGAAAAGTCTCCTAAACCTTGTATATATTTTTAATTTTAGAAGAGAAGAATTTTTTCTTTCTTCAGCAAACTAACGGATTCCTTCGAAGCGGCGACCTTATCTTAAATTGCTAGAAGCTTCTTTTTTGTTGTATTAATTGCCTAGGAGATTTATGTAAGTATCCCTTTGTTTTCATTTTGTTGATACCCCAATCTGACCAATTTTATTTCAACTTATCCACGACCCAGCTCTCCAACAACCCTGTGAGTGACGTACGCACTAGTTTCGATTATTTTGTTTGCCCAATCTTCTCCCCCATGTTCTTACCCTGAGGTAAGCAAAATAGTTCGTTACAAGATATCAAATCTTGTCAGTATAGAACAAAACTCAATCTAGGCAGTAAAGGCATATCCAGGAGCAGACATATCCTACAGTCTTCTTATTGCTAGGTTTTAACTTCAACCAAAAAAGATGCAAATAAGCCGCAACAACAATAAACTTAACATACAGAAACTAAAGTTAGAAGAATCAAAAGAAAATCTGAAACACGAAATCAACACAAATCTAAATAGACACCCAAGAAATAATTGCAACGTAGAGCAGCAGTGGCAATTTTTCAAAAGCTCTATATTGGAGCCAAGTAAGAAAGTACTTATAATAACCAAATGTAAGAAAAAATAGTGGATGACCGAGAAAATTCTAGAGTTGATGAATGAAAGGGGAAAAAACAAAACCATCAATACGATCCGCTATAAACAGCTTCTAATCCAAATAAGAAGAAAAATTAGGGATGCTAAAGAAACCTACTTCTCTAAAAAATGTAAAGAAATAGAAGACCTGCAAAACAGATATGACAACTTTAATCTACATAAAAAAGTCAAAGAACTAGCCGGAGTAGGGAATAGAAGAACCTCAAATATATTGTTCGACAAAAATGGAAATATTATAATGAAGATAGAACAAAATCAACATCAGATATGCAGATGATACAGTAATAATAGCCGATAGTTTACAAGACCTGGAAAAAGTCATAAGTAAAATAGTAATGTGTAGTAGGGAGTACGGACTCTCGCTCAATATCAAAAAGATGAAGTTTATGAAAATGTATAAAAAAAAACCATAATACTAACGAAATCTTGATGGTAGAGGGCCAGCAGATCGAAAGAGTAAAAAAATACACTTACCTAGGAACACTTACAACAAAATAATGACTACACTGAAGAAATCACAGCCAGAATCGAAAAAGCACGTTCTAATTTTGTGAAAATGATAAAGGTCTTATGTGGCAAAGATTTAACATTAGCTCTTAAAGTACGTCAAACAAAATGTTACGTATACAGTGTACTGTACTATGGACTGGAATCATGGACGTTAAATCTAGACACAATGAGACGACTTAACGCCCTTGAAATGTGGACCTATAGAAGAATTATGAGGGTTTTCTGGGTAGATAGAGTTACGAACAATGAAGTACTGAGAAGAATAGGTAAAGAGAAGGAAGTTGAACTTACAATTAAAAAAAGAAAGCTACAGTATCTCGGACATGTGATGCGAAGCAAGAAGTATGGCATCCTGCGACTTATAATGCAAGGAAAGATAGATGACAGAAGAAGCATCGGAAGAAGACGAATTTTATGGCTTAAGAACCTTAAAAAATGGTTTGAATGTAGCTCAAAACAATTATTTAGAGTTACTGCCTTAAAAATTAAAATAGCTATGATGATTGCCAACCTCCGTAGCGGAGATGGCACCTGAAGAAGAACATCCACAGAGACGACAAACGAGATGTAAAACGAAATTGCAGTTGATTCCTATTTTCATAATAGAATTTTGTTTAGCGATGAAGCTCACTTTTAATTAATTGACTACGTCAACAAACATACAGTCAATCCAAAGTCAATTGAAAATTAAAGTTTTACGACGACGTTCAAATATATTTTTTTACCAGATCTGTTTTTGTCAGATGTGTTTGTCTGTCTTTGTCTTTTCTTGTTCCTCTGGAGGGGGTTTACCTCCACCATTTTAAGTCCCTAAAATTTGTGAGTAACAGTGTCGGAATAGGGTCCTGGAAGTGGGGTTAACCCCCAAAACCCCCTAGGTGCGCCACTGGTGTGCGGACTATCACGAAATTCGTGATGTCATGAATGAGCTAGTCATTAACATGCCTAGCTAATTGTCCGGAAAATGGTTTTTACAACAAATGTTATCAAATATAGGTACCACTAAATTCGGTAATAGTTATGCATAACGCTCCCGTACCATTCATTACAACTTTATAAAATTCATTTAAATGATTTAAAGCGTTTCAATCTAAAATAGATTATTAAAAATAGTTAAACCACAAAATTTTCAGCTGGAGTACGTAATTGATAAATTGGCAGAAAAAATTGAGAGAAAAATTGAGAGCATTCAGTTACCTTCTAACTTCTATATTTTCAATCAAATGGAGTTAGTTTGGTCATATATAAAACGTAATTTACGGAACAATAAGCACTCCCTGTCACTAAACAATATAGTACTCGATAATATAAGAAAATTATGAACAAGCCTAAGCATACTGAAATTTGGAAAAGCAGTGTGGCACATGTTATCCAACAGAAACAAGGTAATTGCTTCATTGCCGATCCACACATTAAATTGATTAGTTAAATGGTCTTGAACAGCTACGACATTATATGGCGGTGCTTCATCTTGTTGCCATATCATATTTAATTGATGTTGTGTATAATTTTGATTTAATAACTCAACTTCTGTAATGAGTGTTTCCAAATATGATTCCCCAGTTAATTTATAATAAAAAAAAGGGTCCAACTATTTTGTATTGAAATATTTCGCATTTTATGCAACACAATAAAATAAGAAAGATAAGAAGATAATAACAATAAGAAAGTTACAATATCTGGGACACGTAATGAGGGATTAATTACTATTAAACTGGGAATAAGCCACAATTAAAGATAAAAATACGTTTATTGACGTTTCATAATTTTCATACGTTTGTATTTTGAGAACGATTTCCGAAGTGGAAATTGAAACGTCAATAAACGTATTTTTATCTTTAAGTGTGGCTTATTCCCAGTTTAATAGTAATTAATTCACAATGCCACAAGAAAATAGCTTCAGAACAATACGTAATGAGGGGACAGCGCTATGAACTGCTAAGGCTAATAATACAGGGAAAGATAAGAGGAGGAAGGAGTATAGGAAGAAGGAGAGCGTCATGGTTGAAGAATTTAAGGGACTTATTTAAATGCAGTTCTATAGAACTCTTTAGAGCAGCAGTAGATAAAGTAAAGATAGTGATGATGAGATCCAACCTCCTATTGGGAGACGGCACTTAAAGAGGAAGAAGAAAAATAAGATTTAATACGCCTACGAGTTTCACAGATATCACCGATAAGCTTGAGACTTCCGTTTTCAATTTACTTTGGATGGACTTTGGACGAACTTCCATATTTTAAGTGAAGATAATACAATTGAATGTTGAGAAATCTAGAAAAACTGACTGTTTGGTGTGATTCATGGGCTGCTGGAATTATTGATCCGTATTTCTTCAAAAATGATGCTGGCCAGAACGTTACAGTCAATGGTGACCGATATAAAGCCATGAGGACTGACCTTTTGATTACTCAATTAAACAATCATGATGTGCAATTGACTGATTGAAGGAAATGTTTGGTAACGCATAGTTTTACGTTTCGGATCCGTGAATTGGTCTCCAAAATCGTGCAATTTAACATTGCTAGACTATTTTCTGTGAAAATCTGTGAAGTGGCTAGTCTACGTCGATAAGCGATTTACTACTTGGAGGATAATATTCGCCGCGTTATTGTAAAAATTCATCGAAAATTGGACCTCCAGATTCGACTGTCAGAGCCAGCCGCGTGGTGGTCATATGCTAGAAACTATATTTAATTTATAATACCAAAAAATTATCTTTCATCTTTGTTTCATTCCATTTTAAATTTATTACTATCTTTATTTGGACTAAGCCATAATTTAATTTTAAAATTTTTCTTCGAAACGCTTTTCGAAGCGGAAATCTAAAACCCAAAATATCTTTATTTTAAACTTAAATTGCTTGTTTTCAATAGAAATAGTAATTACATTAAGATGACAGGAAAATAGCTTCAGAACAACATTTTACACATCTATACTCTAAAAAATAGCCCATATATGCAAGACAATAATAAAACAAACATAAATAGACCAAATACTTATTAAGTTCTAGTAAAAGTAAGAAAGAGAATTCCTCAAGAATTGAGATCAAACATCAATGGAGATCAAACAAAATTACAGAGGAATTAATTTATTAAACAAAACCCTAAAATAACAACCAAACTGATAACAAATAAACTGAATAAAATTATAATACTAGCAAAAGAACAACAAGGTATGAGGTAGGAAAGATCATGCACCGACGCTATATTTATATTGAGGCAAGTGCAAGAGAAATCATTAGAATACAACAAACTGGCATGTCTATGTTTCGTGAACCTCACGAAGGGATTTGACCGGGTCAAATTAAAAGACAATATTCACTTACTGTACGCATGAGAGATAAATCTAGGAATAATCAAAAAGATCGAAAATATCTATCAAAACAACACAATAAAAGTAAAAGTAGAAGAAATATCCGACCCTCTTGAAGATGGCAATGGGATAAGATCGGGAGATTCCCTGAGTCTTCTATTGTTTAACCCGATTATGGATGAAATAATAAAAAAGTAAGAATTACAAATGGATATCAAATAGGAGAAAAACAACTTAAAATAATCTGCTATGCAGACGACGCAATACTACTCTCTCAAAGTGAAGATGATTTACAACTGCCAACAAATTTAATATGTTAATTTACCCAAAAAAGACTAAATGCATGGTTACAACAGTGAATTTACTACGATGTAAACTTGAGCTGAAAAGTCAGATAATAGAACAAGCAATGGAGTTTAAATACCTAGGCATCACATTATCTAGCTACAGAAAGCTCGAAACTGAAGTGGAAGATCAGGTGAATAACGCAAACAGAGCCGCAGGCTGCCCGAATGAAACAATATGGAGCAATAACAATATTGGGAAAGAAACGAAATGCAGAATTTACAAAACTGCAATCAGACCGATAATGGCATACGCGGCAGAAACACGACCTGTCACAGAGAGAAAAAAGATGTTAGAAACAGCAGTGATGAAAACACGACGTAGATGCAAGGTGGAGAACATTAGGAACTGTGTAAGAAATAGAAGAGTAAAACGGAACGATCATATAAGCCGAATGACAACAAATAGAGTAGTTAAGATGGCAAGAGACGGTTCCCCAATAGGAAGACGATCAGTAGTAAGAACACAAAAACGATGGAACGGCAACTTACTGGAGGCACATTAAAAAACAGACAAAGTCATGTCTATACAAAAAGAAGAAGAAGAATTATTAAGTTAAAAAGGAGAAAAAGGGAAAATTATTATAAATTAAATACAAAATGTTTATATAAACAAGGAAACAGTATCAAGAATATGTTAAAAATACTTGTAATATACTTACTCGTTCAAAAGCTATGTAGCCATTGTGTTTTTTGGCATATTCTTCTAACTTTCCAAAATAGAAAGACGTGGCTTCTTTCAGTTTTTTAAGTTTCTCCTCTTTTTCAACCGCATCACTTATAAACATCGAATCGAAGGTAACTGCAACAAAATATAGTATTAAGATAGCACAACCATAATCACGTCCCGCTGGTGGGAATATTCTGAGTAATTTTTAACAAATTGCAGAAGACGAGATCACTAGCATTGAGGTCTAAGCGACAAATTCGAGGTACAAGCGAAGTTATAAAACTGAACTTAAGAACAACATATGAAACATATTACAGAAATAGTTCAAAATGAACAAAAAAACACTACAACGCAGATAAATTAATAAAGAAAAAATCATGGATGACAGGTGAGATCTCTGATACAGCGATAAACATAACAATAAGAAGGAAAATCAGAAAAGCAAAAAGAAAGAGAAGGAATGAGAATATGCGGAGAAATTGAAATTACAATTAATAAACTTTAGTTATAATGTACACAGGAAGGTTAAAGAAGTCACAGGTGAACTAAAAGGGAGACAAAGAGGAACTTTAACCGATTTTGATAAAAACACATATTGGACAAACATAGTAAAATAATAATTTGAAAATAATACCTAGAGAAACTGTTTAAATTAAAAAGATTATATCTTTTTTTAAGAGGGGATAAATGATGGCTGTTTATTTTGTAATAATAGAGCTAAAGGATGGTAAAACAGTAGGCCTTGATAGTTAATTTAAAAGCAGAACTACGCAAACTAATGAACAGATATGTCAATGGCGAATTACGAGAATGCGTTTGATCAAATATAGCATGCCAATATAATGTAAATACTAAAACAATCGGAAATTTACGACGAAGATCTAAAAATAATTTTAAATATCTACTAGAATTAACTCAAAAATCTCAGAATTGAAGGTAAACTCACCGAATTCTTAAAAATCATGCGTGAAGTAAGGTAAGGCTATATTTTGTTTTCTCTAATCTTTAATCTTCGCTTTGACAGACTATTTAGTGAAGCTTTGTACGAAACTAAGGATGGTATTCTACTGAGCTGGTATCGGTTGAATAACATCAGATATGCAAATGACACAATTGTAGTTGCAAACAACCTAGAAGAACTAAACGTATTTATTAACAAAATCACGGATACAGTCAAAAGTATGTATATCGTACATCTAGTTCAATACTGCCATAACTCCAAAAATTCCAATTTTGAGTTAAGGCTTTAAAAAGGTTGCATATATGATACCCCATCTAATGCAATACAACCTTAACTGAAATATTGTCTTGGATAAGTATAAAGTAAGATATTTCGGTATTACACTGTAGGGTTTTGAAATGTAATATGGCCATAACTAGGAGATGTGGCGATAATACACTCCGTCACAATACAACCGATGTAATTCAATACGGCCACAACTGCAAAAATTGTTAGATTAGTGATACGATTTTATCAGTTCTCAATTATTTATGCACGAGGTATCCATGTTTTTAGTGTACATCTATTTGATTTAAAATCTGAAAACAGTGTATAGTGATATTATTATTAACTTTAGTATCAAACACGATGTCAAGGGCAAGAAAAATACTTGGACTAGCTTTGCAAAGCTATCTTAAAGATGATGAGAATCTGAGAGACAATTCAGAGGTTTCTGAGGTTATGAATGACATCTCCTTTGTGTTGACGGAGGTTCGTATTTCAACAAAAATCACAGTGAGGTTTTTACTTACTGTATGTAATTTTTTAGCTTACTCTGGTTGCGTTACCCGTGCAATCAAATCATACCGCAAATACATTTGAAGATCAAGAAAATCTACATACAGACCCTCGCCAAGATGATTACATAGAGCAGGTATATTCTTATGAAACGAGAAACGGTTACTGGACCGGTGAAAAATAAAATAATAGAACACATAAATTCCTTCCAAAGGGTAGAATCACATTATCTTAGAGCACAAACTACAAAGGAATACATAGATGGTTCACTTACTTTAGCTCAAATGTATCGCTACTACAAACTACAGGAAGAGAGTGAAGGAAGGCCAGTGGCTAAAAAATGCACTTACGAGCATATTTTCAAAACTGAGTTTAACATAACTTTCTTTCAGCCAAAAAAAGATCAGTGCGCAATTTGTGAATCATATAAAAATTCTTTTGCTGAACAGCAAGCTACTCTTCATCAAACTTATAATAAACATATTCATAATAAAATTAGAAGCAGAGAAGAAAAAACACAAGATCTAGCAAGAGCAAAAGATGATTCTCAAGTATTGGTAGCTTGTTTTGATTTGCAGGCGATCCTTCCTACACCTTGTGGAGATGTTTCAAGCTTCTACTATAAATGCCGCCTGAACTGCTTCAACTTTACAATTTTTCAGATATTGCAAAAGACTGGTTACTGTTACTTTTGGCAGAAGGCTATTGCTAACCGCGGCTCAAACGAAATAGCTACGTGTCTGTTTGATTATCTTTCAAATCATTGTAATGATAACGACGCTATATTTTATAGCGACAATTGTGTTGGGCAAATTAAAAATAAATTTATAGTTATCATGTATCTCTATGCAATTGGAAAAATTAATGTTAAATCAATCACAAATAAATTTTTAACAGTGGGACATACCCAAAATAAAGGGGATGCCATGCACGCAACTATTGAGAGGCAAAAGAAGAAAATACTTAAAACAGGTCCCATTTATGTTCCTGCAGAATGGCCTGTCATCATAAGATCTGCAAAAAATAGGGAAATCCTTACAATGTAAAAGAAATGTCAACAGAAGACTTTTATGACTTTAAAGATCTCAATTCAAAAATTGGAGGAAATTTTACAAAGAATACAAAAGATGAAAAGGTAGTCTGGAATGATATCCAAGTTATTAAAGTTGTCAAAAGCAATCCTGGATCTTTCTTCTATAAAACAGATTATAATGCCGATGAGTTCGAAGAGGTCTATTTTAAAGCATCGACAAGGGGGCGTTCAGCAACTGTGGAAGCAGTAATCGATTTAAAAAAAGGCGTACATAAAGCCTCCATCGATATCCGCAAAAACCAAGCAACACCTTTTGGAACTGTGCAATAAAAACTTAATATTACCTGTTCATCACAATTTTTATAAGGACTTGGTTAATAGTAATTAAAAAAAATGTTCATACACACTTGTAACAATAATAATAAAAATATTTTTTATAAGAACTAGTTGATTTTTTTTATTATGTCCTATTATCGTTTTAATTATCTCATATTATCTCCTATTTATCGTTTTATAAATGACTTTCTTCACAATGCAATATCGCCATAACTATCAAAATACAATTAACGTTTTATTTTAATAAATTGTAATAAGATCCAGCGAATAACTGTATAATTTGCTAACTAAATTGTAATTTTGAAGCCAGTCATTCTAAAAATAAATTATTTACAAGGCATAACTCGTTTGCTACAGAACGTTTTGCTCATTTCTCGAAATTATTGTATTTTGGACTTGTGGCACTATTGAACTAGGTGTGCGATATATTCATTATAACCGAAGAAAGAAGAAAACGAACATGATACTAGCAGGTAACTCTATGTCAACCAGACCCCAGTAGAAAAAATAAAGCACTGTAACTATCTTAGCATCATAATAAATAAAAAATGGACCAACAAGTAGCAGATAAAAGTGTGCATGGAAAAAGCTACATACACCTTTAACTGGATGAGGCACTTTTTCAAAACCCACAATCTCTTCCATGGTATAACAGTAAGAATACCGTCATGCTGCGTTTTCTCTGTTCTGTTCAATAGTGTTGAATCTTGGACCTTGGACAAAGATATGTACCAAATATTGAAAGGGTTTGGGACTTGGTTGTATCGGAGAATACTCAAGATTCCATGGACTGACCGAATTGCAAGTCAAGAGGTTCTTAGAAATAGAATGATGATAACCGGGAGCTAGTGAATACATTTAAATTTTAAAAGTTACTGTACTGCGGATACGTTTAGGCAAAATAAATCCAGATATACATTCCTACAAGCCATCCTGCATCAAAAAATATGTGAAAGGCGAGATCCAGGAATAAAAGAACATCCTGGTTAAAGAACTTTAAAACCTGGTGCAATACAACATCTTTGCAGCTTTTTTGCATTGCTGCAGATACTATAACATTAATCATGGATAGATACATCAAGGTGAGACAGGGTAATACAATATCACCGAAACTGTTCAATCAGGCTCTTGAAGATACTTTTAAAAGATTACAATGGGAATAAAAAAGTTATAAAAATTTGTGGACAACGCTTGAACCATCTAAGGTACGCTGATGATATCGTATTGATAACTGATAAAAAAGAAGAATTATTTGAAATTATGAAAGAAGTGAACGTAGAAGCTGGAAAGATAGGCCTTAATATGAATTACAGCAAGACCAAAACCATAACAAATACAGATGAAGACATCACAATGAGAATCGGACAAGATGAAATAGAACAAGTTCAGGATTATATATATCTTGGTCAAGCTATAAAATTTAACAAAGAGAACCAAACAGCAGAGATAAAGAGACGACTTAGACTGGCATGGGCGGCATTTGGCAAACTAAGCTAGATTTTTAAAAACAAAGATATTCACAGCATCTTAAGACCAAAGTAATCAATCAATGCGTACTCCCTGTTCTTACTTATGGTTTCCAAACGTGGACATTTACAAAAGCAAACATGGACAAAATCATAAAAACCCAAAGAGCAATAGAAAGACAATATTTGCACATAAGACTAATGGATAAAAAGAGAAACGAGTGGATAAGAGAGAAAACAAAAGTGAGGGATGTTAGACAAGAAGTGGCAAAATTGAAATGGAGATTTGCCGGACACAATATAAGACAAAAAGAAGACCGATGGAAGAAAATTCTTATAAATTGGACACGGTGGGAATATAAACGAAGCGGAGGAAGGCCACAAATGAAATGGACAAATGATATCAAGAAGCACGTGGGCTCTAAGTGGATGACTGTAGCGGCAGAAAGAGAAGAATAGAAAAGAATTGGGGAGGCCTATGTCCAAAGATAGACCGAACAAGGCTAATTAGATAGATAGATAGATAGATACATCAAGAAGAAGACAATCATAGTATTAA